TACCATAGCAACAAAGCGTTGTCAACACAACGTCGGCGACGCAAAACCTACTTAATATTTTGTCATAATTTTATAACCCCATACCGGGTAAGTAAAAGGAACCGGAACGCTTAAAATGTCTTAAAACCGTTAAAAGGTAATAGAAAAAACTATATACATACCTCAGGAGGAAAATGCATTTCCTCCCTTGAATATTTAATGCCCTTCGCTTCGCGTCGGGCATCAAACTATTCGCGGGAGGAAATGCAATATTTTCCTCCCATGGTATGTAAATAGCTATAGTGTATTTGCGACTTTGACACAAACGTCAAATTTAAGATTATTAATAATTATTATTTTTACAAAACATTCTTATAGAAATACCGGTTGTAGAAAAAATCATGTGTGTAACTTTATCGCTCAGAGCGGCAATGTATCACTTTGCGCTCTTAATACACAAATAGCTATTTTGTGCGTTTCATATATATGTTAATGTATGTAAATATTTTTGTAAAGTTGTTAATCCGTCAATAAAGTTATTATTAAAGTTATTATTATTATTATCATTATTATTTTTAACAATAGGTAAATATATATAAAAAATATCTTTTTATTTAAAAAATTATTAATTATTTACAATACAATATATTAAATAAAATAAAAACGAATGAGTATTTAAATAAAACATATTTTTTTATTTCTTTGTATTTTACTTAGTTTTCTTTAAGAAAATAATAACATTTTTAATACAGTTTTTTATATGTAGTTAATAATTGGTTACAATGTAAAATACAATAATTACCTATATATTTATAAAATTATGATAAATATAAAACTAATAATACGGTTCTTAACACGCACCAACAATTATCACTAAATAATTTATTTCATCCTTATTTTTCGCAACTTTTTGTTTCATGAAATTTCATAATCGAGTTTGCGTGTACCAAAGCGATTATTTGTCGAATATAGAATATATATCCTCTTGGTAACGGTGACATACCGAGTGGTCTTGGAATAAATTCCCATAATTTATTTTACTATTTGAACATTTTTTTTATCTACTACGAGTACCTCGGTACGTTGAAACTTCTTTGCATGATGACGTTCTAAGCCATTGCCGTCGTTAAGTGACATTCTACGTTTTAGAACGTTTATAGGAGTAGGTACTCCGGATAACGAGTCACATTCTCTTAGGAAAATTTAAGACGTCTAATGGTCTTACATGTATCTAATTTATTTGGGTGTTGGGTTTGAGTTAGTTGAGATACTGTCAAATGCTTTTAGACATGCGATGGACATTGTTACAAATCTTGGTTGCATCTACCACATGTAGGTAGCTGTTTTGAATTAATCTGGCTAATAAATAATACTTAAAAACTAAAACATAGTTATTAAAAAGGCCAATAAATATTCGTCGGTAAAAGTGAAAAACCTCGTATGTACTACATTTTTGAATTTTTATAAATCTTATTACCATAATATTTAATAAATATTATTTATATCACTTTTGTTTAAATAATTTAAATATGGTAAAAAATAAATATTTGCATTTATGTATTTACAATCTTTGTCAAAAATCGTTTTATCAAAAATTGCAAATACGAGGTTTTTTTTTTGGTGAATGAATTTTTAATTCTAACTGATTGGTATCAATCATTTATAAGTGCCTATAGGCTATAATCACTTTAGTAACGTGGGTTGAAGCCATTCCACGCTACTCGGGAATTTTTGTAGCATCCGTTACAATAAAAAATTGTGAGTAAAACTACCGTAATTATTATGCTTATAAGTTTAAGCCTAATTATTACAAGCATAATAAACATATTTGCAATATTAACTATTGTAACAGTACTTAATTAAATTACGGTAGCTTTTAATCACAATTTTTGATTGTAACGGACGCTACAAAAATTTCCGAGTAGCGTGGAATGGCTGGACAATAAAACTATAGGCTATAATCACTTAATATTTAACCGTTGAGTGAATGAGTCGTAACGATATAATAACGATTAAATGATTTAACGATATATTAACAATTTAATGATTTAACGATATCAACGGATAGTTACCCACAAAATTTGTAATGGGAAGGGGGTCGAGTAATGGCTTTGTTGTAAAGTTCTTTTTGTCCTGATTAAAACCTCCAAGTTTAAAGTCGCTGCTATCATCACTGCTAATATGACAGCTTGTTAAAATCTTGAAGTAGGTTTTTAGTTAATAACTCTAGGAGATAAAAATATCACAGCTAAACGCTCGGACACAATTCTTGGTCGTAGATTACATTTCAAGTTTTGGAACCTCCCATTGGGAAACACCGTGTATAAAGTTAAAACAAATCAATTGGGCTGAACCCCCACATCAGTTACAAATTAAAAAAAACTAATACTTGCAAAATTTAAGGTTAATTCATCAAAATGAACACGTGAGGTTTTAGATAATTTAGGAAATTCAAAATGTTTTTTTGCTGTTTTTTATTGAGTATAATTGAGGATATTATATTATATTAAATGAAATGATAAGCATAGGAATTTTGGCACAAGAGGTGATATATATTATTTTACAAATTATAATATACCAGTATACAGTGTGTCCCCGGATCGGGCAGTGGCGGTTCGTAACCATTCATGAAGGTGAGGCCCATGGCGCCGCAGGCAATTTTGTTTGAAATTTACAAGGTCTCGCGTTTTTGGAAAATATATATTATTTAAAAATATGTTCTTTTACCAGAAGAATTTTCAAAATTTAGCTAGAATAATACAAAAAGTGCGGGATGAGGTGGGATTTTTATTTATTCCTTCAGCAGTTTTCCACATTACCCAGGAGGTAGGTACTGCTCATTTTTACCTATCTTACTAAAAATATTTTTAGATTAATAAAGGCACAACCGTACAACAAAATGTACAAGCACAGTAGGTATATGAAACTCAGCGATTTAACATTGAACTATAAAAAACATGAATATTTTTTGTGAGTTTTACTGTGGTATTTGTGTGTTAATATAATAGTATATTAAAATAAAAATGATCTTTTATAATTATTTAAATTATTTTTACATGAATTCACAACGCAATAATGTATTTTACGCTTGCATTTTTATCACCACTTTCCATTTTAACGCTAAGGCAAAGACTAAACAGAAATAAGAAACTATAAACACGCATAGATCTAATTAATAAGCTTTGTTTACTATAACATTCCACGCCCCGCCCAGTCTTTTACAACGGCTGATAAGCGAGCCGCACAGATCTCGGGACTGACTCTGCTGTCTTCCATATACTGTGGTACAAGCCCAACTTTGTGGGCCTCAATGTCTACAAAAATTCGCGTATTATCCCCGCCATGCGAGGGTGTCGGGGGCACCGTGCAGCAGTGGGGAGCATGATGTTGTATCGGCAATGTGTGACGTATATGAAGCGCAAATTTTTGGTATTACTATTTCCCTATTATGCGGTCGGGCAATGATTTAAGCGTTTAGAATTAAAGTTGAAAGGGGTGCGCGCTAAATTTAAAGGAAATATTTTAAACTTTGATGGTTATTCGATGTTTTGATACTTTTAATGACTGGAAATTAGTTTAAAAACGTTTTATATTTAAATAAGTAATGTATCGAACATTTCAAATTATATTATAATTTTAACATGTGAGGCCCGGCCTCAGTTGCTTTATACGACGAGCTGGGAACGGATTGCCAATAGGAAAAACTTTTTTAGACCTGTTGCTGCTAAACCGAGCACGGATTTGGAACCTACCACCAAAAATTATGTTTACGTTTAACTGTAATATTTTAAGAGTTAAACATTTACCTACAGTGTATGTAATTAATTAATCACAAGAGCTAGCCACTTCAAACTTGGTGGATATAATGAGGGTCACCCCAATAATTTTAAATGATGTAGGCGTCGAGATACTTTATTTTAAAGGTCTTTTGACCCACATTATATCCATCAAGTTTAAAATCGCTAGCTCTTGTTGTTTTGATACTAACATAATAAATATAATGTAAAAGTAAACTTTTAATGAATTTTAGAAAAAAATATTTGATCTATCCACACAGGCACTATTTAAATCAAAAGACCAAACAAATTTTATCTGAATCCTTGGTGTTAAGTTATAGCAATCACTGCGACGTGGTATATGGGTCTAATCTTATTGGTATTGACAAAAAAAGACTTCAGCATCTTAAAAATTCTTGTTTAAGATTAATATTTAGTGTAAGAAGAGGAGATCGAATAAGTCAAAGACTTTCTGAATCTGGGTCGTTGTCTTTGAATAATAGGAGAATTCTGCATATATGTATTGTTTTTATTATAATATTTTGAAATACAAAGGTCCAAAATATTTGATAATAAAATAAGATTTAAAACAGACGTTCACAATTTAAATATAAGAAGAAAACAAATTTTGGATGTTCCTAAACATAAAAAAGAAATCTATAAACGCTCATTTACAGACAACATGTGCAAGCAAATTTTGACTTATCTGTAGGTATGGACTAAATGTAATCTTAAAAGGTCCCTTTTCCAGCAAGAGGTGATTTGACTTATAGATGTTTCTTTATGGACCCTAAGGACTTACCCATTTGTATTCAAATATAGTTAAAGGCAAATATACAGGATGTTACTGAAGTGAAGTTGTGAGTTAGCGTAATATACTGTTAGTGCATTTTCGGGACACCCTGTATATGCGATCAGGACATTTTTTTGTAATAAAAAGTTAACACAAAATCAAAAAAAATTAAAACTCTCAGTCACTAAAGAAAAACATTTTTTAATTGGTTATAAAAAACAAAAAGAACAAATTTTCTTTGGATTGATTCATTTTGTTTTAGGAATAATATTTATTGTTTTGTTTATTTTATAATTACCATCTATGTTGTTTATTAGCCATAAACTTTTATTGTCAATAATAATAATTTAATAATACTTAATCTAAAATTGTGTTTTATCAGAAGCTGTTATTATATTTATTGTGGCAAATTTACCACTAAAAAATAGTCTTAAGCTTAATTTGTTTAATACCTGTGGTACTTGTAGTTCCTGATTTGGCTAAAACCTTTTCCACAGTCTTCGCAAGTAAATGCCTTAATTTTCTTAATTTTTCCATCTTCCCCCGATTCCAAGCCTTTCTCATCATCCTCATTACTGCTGCTCAAACAAAAACCATCCCTTGATGAATCGTTGCTTATACACTTCGGTGACCTCGACCTTAGTTTTTCTTTCTTGGATATATTCTTATTTGTTGGCAAAATAACTTCAAGGGGCGGCTTTTTGGTGGTCACTTCGTTTATGGCTATTTCTAGCGATTTCTGTTTTTCTAGTTTCGAAGCTATTCTTTCAATTTTATTGTAGCTTAAGTTTAATCCCAACCGGGAACTACTGATAGTGCTTGGTTTAAACACATTATTTCGTTGAGGTAAAGAATAATTTGCTTCTTGATGAGGTAAAACATTTAAGTTAGTTTCTTGTATATGGTATCGTGGGAAAGAACTGGTAAAATTGTTATTTGTATCGTTTTCGTCTAGCTTTTCTTGATGCCTTGGCGACATCTGAAACAAGATTTTAGAAGTTAGTAGGTGTTTAAATTATATTGAGTTAACTCAATCAATTGATACATGATATTAAACTAAAGTAAAACATTGCATGCGTGTCCACATAAATAACCGTATCAATTAGTTATATGGACAAAATGAAACTAAACTAAACCGTATACATGCAACATGTAATTTTATTATAATATTTGTACATATACTAGATTAGCTTTTTAATTATAAAAAAAGTTAATTATATCATAACAATTATAACATTTTTTAATGAAGACCTACTGTGAAAAATAAGATATTAAAAAATAGAATTTTAAATATTTTTACTAACTTAACATTAAACATACTCGTTTTATCACCCAAGTTATAAAGTTAAACTTTACAGTCAAGTGGTAAATATCAGTGGCGCAGGGGTCGGCCCTATGTCTTAAAGAGCCCTTAAAATAAAATAGAATTTTAAATATTTTTACTAACTTAACATTAAACATACTCGTTTTATCACCCAAGTTATAAAGTTAAACTTTACAGTCAAGTGGTAAATATCAGTGGCGCAGGGGTCGGCCCTATGTCATAAAGAGCCCTTAAGCCTAAAAGTCTTGTACAGTCTAATGAAAAATAACGTTGACATTTTATGATCATTAAGAGTTATTTGTGTTAAGGGCGCCCGACCTCATGAAAAATATAAGCTTGGGCATAGCTATAACTAGTATAGTAGTTGCGTATTTACGGGGGTACTGGAGGCCCGGTTCCCCCATTGCTCCGGTTAAATTCACGATAATTGAAAATCGTGGTTTGTTTATTATAAAATATACCAAAAAAATATTTACGAAAAAATAAATATTAATAATTAACCACAAATTTAATTATAGAAAATTCCAAGCCCAACGAAAGAAGTTTTCATGTGGTAAGCAGTGATTTAAAAAAACGCAAAGACCCGTCAACTTTTTTAGCAATAGATTGTTTTTTCAAGTTGCTTCAACCCTTAGCGAAATGGCTACAAACCCTGAAATTTTTTTTTAGCATTATGGGCAAGTGGTACCTCATTTGAAGTCTGGCTCCCCTGACTTTTATCAAGAAACAAAATTCAAATTCCATCCATTAGTTTTCTAAATATTTAAAATTAAGAAAGCATTAGCAATTACGCAACTTTTATCTAATTTAAACGACCTTGTAGCTTTCCAAATAAAATATATATAAGGATAATTTGTGCACAGTGTATAGTTTAGACAGCCTTAAGTGGTGTACACCTGCTATATGGTGCATTATTATATTCTTCTTTTACCACTTATTACCCAAAGTTTTATGATACCTTAGAACCGTAACTAGGCTAGTGGATTCGTATAGGTAACCCAAAAAATGTAGTTTGTACTAAAAAATATAATTTATAACCATATGTTTAAAAATAGATTCCGTTCAAGAAAATTGAGTATACTCAATTTTTTAATATCAAAAATAAGTTTGTAGTAGGTAGGTACCGTTGGAACATTTATTTAATTTATTAGTAATAAATTATAAAAAAAAATTATGTCTATATATATACATATATATATATCAAGAGGAACCTATAATTTAAAGTCATTAGATTGTTGCGATTCGATGCGATCAGCTATTTTTAAATTACTGTTATAAAACTTACCACGAGTTTAAACATTATCGATTAAGTTATGGTTCACAAAAGGTAGTTGTTGAAAAAAAAAAATTAACATAACATGCCAAAATGCCGAAAGAAAATTTTTCGACAAAAGCAAATATGTTTAGGTACTACCTAATTACTAAAATTCACATAAAAACCATAATTCATAAGAAACATTTTACTTATCCTTAAATATGCATACAAATGAAGTTACTAGATATTTATTTAGTCATTTAAACTTAGTTAATATAATATATTAACTAATATTATTAGTATTACAAATAACCTTAGGCAAATAGAACACTTGCTTTGCTTAGATATATTGCTATATAAAAATTAAAAAAGAATACACGAGTCGTCTAGTTTCAGAAGCGGCCATCTCCAAAAATTTAAAAAAAAAGTTATTTACAATATATATATATATATATATATGTATATATTATAGCAAAATTATATCCGAACAAAAACGGCTATTTCCAAGGAAAATAATTTATTAAAGTTTTAGATAGTTTCAATACCGGCCATCTCGAGATCCGTTGATGTTTTATACTTGTATACAAAAATTTACTTAAAATGCTCATCTCTTTGCGTATATATGTTTTTGTTAATTAAAACTTAAATCTGTTTGTTTATTTTTTAGATAAATATTTTCAGTTACGATATGAACTAGTTTTTTAAAATATATTTTGACCCATTACTTTTTAGTATAATTTTTTGCCATTTACTTAAAATATTCTACAGAGAAGATGGCCGCTCTTGAAATTGGACGACTTCTATAACTTCAAAAATTTGGCCAATAGTAATTGAGAATTTTACTTAGTTACAAAGTATAGATATACGGATATACGTGACAACGTGGTTTAATCATTTTGGTGTTTCGGTGGGTCCAACCAAAGATAACATTTTCTTTGGGTCCAACCCTGGGTCCAACAAAGCAAAAATAATAGATAATATTTTAAATGTAGTCATGATTTAATAACTGTCATAAAAAAGGTCAATTAAAATCGCAATGAATCGCTTCCGAAAATGTGTTTCGAAATAAGCGAAGCAATTGAATCTTTAACGCCTGCGAACAAGGTGAATATGTACAAATGCAGTTGAAAGCAGTATTTAGCATCTTTTGAAGAATAAAAATACGAATATCTTGAGCAGGCTTTCGGACGAACACTTGGCAGGTATTATAAAAGACTCTGCTTTTAACATGAAGCGAGCTAATGGCACTAATTATAAAGAGGGAGTTGTGAAGACGATTTGTAATATTTCCGCAAAGGTTCTCCAGAAAAAGTACTTTGAAAATTTTAATCTTAAAATAGACCTATTTAAAAACATACTTTTTAAGAATGCCGAAAGAAGATATGTAGGTAGAAACGGTTCCAGATAATAAAATCCAGTTCTGCAGCACTGACAATTGAAGAGGTCAGCAAGATTGTGGAAAACTATGACGAAAACTCACCGGACGGCTTATAAAAAAAATTCTACCAGATTTCTGCCATCGAGCTTGCGTGGCGTGGCAACAAAGCAACCTTCTGCCCAGTAGAATTTTTCAAAGAACGAAGTCGACATTTATGGTGAACTATTCAATACCACCAATACCATATCCTCTAAAACTACACAGGGCAGATAGAACATACCGCTGCATCTAAATGGTTAACATCGAACAAAGAATGTGTAGACAAGTGTCCAGTGCGTCTACTACAAAAAATATTAAGCAAAATAACATTAAAATTTTATATATTTAATATCAAAAGGAATCGATTGGAAAAAGATAGGAATTTAGTATAAAAATTGTCCAATGGGTAATAACTAGGGATGGGATATTTAGGTACTAAAAACTGAAAAATAGGTAACTAAAAAGGTACTAAAAAAAAGCATTTTAGGTTAAAAAAACAGCATTTTAGGTAAAAAAAACATTAAAAGTTTAAGTTTCGTTTATAATTTTGTTTAGCCGCATACCCAAACACAGAACATACCCACAATAAACTATTTCCATGCAATAAACTGTGTTTTACTGAGTGACACTCACTACACAGAAGTTCTATGACAGAACATAAGCTCACTTGTGAGTCACTATAAAGAAGGTAACTGTAAAGAAAGTTACTGTTACAGTCTGTAACCATAAGAAAAAATTCTATACCTACCGTTGAGTTGCACGCCATGGAAAAAATATTGGCGCAAATTTTAAAAAGAACAAAAAAAATAAAATAAGTAAAAATACGTAAAAATAGGTAACAAATATGTGAAAATAAACTGACAAATTAAAAAATATGTAACAAAAGTATAAAAAGGTAGTTTAAAGCAAAAACCTCCAAAAAAGGTAAAAAAGGTGAAAAAAGTTAAAAAAAAATAGGTAACAAAAGTATAAAAAAGGTAGTTAAAAGCAAAAACCTCCAAAAAAGGTAAAAAAGGTGAAAACAAGTTAGGTTCATATAAAAGAAAATCTTTTAAAACACATTTTGGCATTATTGGTTTTCAAATAGTTACATCGGTTAAAAAAAGGTAAAATAACTAAAATCCCATCCCTAGTAATAACCAAAACAGTGGGCACGTCTAGACGCGCAAAATATTGGGATTTATAAAAGATGATAAAAATAACCAATCACTCAAATATTTCTTCCGCTGTAAGCAATTTGAAAAAATCTTGAGCCACCTTGCAAGAAGTTATTTAAATTACTGTTCATTCTTCAAGTGAATTTCTCAATCGTTAAAAACATGAGAAAGAGAACCCTGCCGTGCACTACCAATATAGCTAGCTTAAGCTCATCCATAGATAACAATGTTTCAAATATTACTTACAATAATTGTACGTTCAATATATTAATACAAAGTATAATAATTTATTATTATCAGTGTATTTATTATATAATCGTAACGAATACCACTCAGGCAATCGAAAATAATGAATATTTTTTTACTCGTAACCCGACAAACCTTAAAATACCACTTGAGCTACGCTCTCGTGGTTTTTCGTAGATTACGTCTTGTCACTCGATATAATGGATTTTTTTCGATGCTCTTATACCCGACTATTTTTATGCAATGCAATGAATTCAATGAATGCAATGAATATTGCAAACACTTTAAACCTTAAACGGTAGGTATTTGTACTTGGAAATAACATATAGCGAACTTGTATCTGCAATTTTGAGTCAAAGTCCATATCCACTAAACTCTTTTTGATTACTTTAATGTTCAAGGTAATGGTTTGGCTAAACGTCTTTCCATGTGTGTATTTGCAAGGTATAGCCCATTTTTAAATTTCCCAAACACAAAATAACGCAAAACTTTTGCACCTATTAAAAATGTATGACCAACAACACACAATTTACCCTCAAATAAACGAAATCATATTATTAATATTGTATGTATGTTAAATAAAAACTTATTCAGGAATAAAAAGGTACTATAATATTTTATGGGATATAGAACCTAAAATTACTATAATATATATCGAGTTAACTTTTAAAATGAGAACACTTTTAAAAGTAAGAAATGAACAAATGTGGTTGGTCTGTGAAGGGTTTCTGTAACTAGTTCTGCTAAAATAAGCTATTTTTTATATAAAATAGACGAATTATATACTAGAAAGAACCTAGTTATACCTTTGACCAAGTAATTTCACAAAAAACAGTTGAATTCTTTGGAATTTATTTTCAGGACAATCTGCAATGGAACATACAGAGGCTAAGTTGAGCGCTCTAAGGAATGTCACCCCGTCCATCATCTCTATGTTCAGGCACAATTAAATACATGTATTTCGGTAGCCGCTCTGTACGAACAAACGGCAAGCCGCGGCACTGATAAATCATCTTCTTGTAACCGAAATCTCGCGACGATTCGATATTTAATTTAATCAACGGCCACATTATCCCCCACCAAAGCGCTCAACTTAGCCTGAACGGACTGTACACTGCTCAAAATTATCCGATATACATTAAGTAAAGTGTGTTATCAGATCCGAAATCTTAAGGTAATTTTAAATATCGGACAGCTAAAATGCTTCAACATGTACTTCGACGAGGTATATTCTGGAGTATCATAATGTTATGCTTCTGGGGCTCTGCTGCAATAAAAGAGGTTTTTTTTTCGTAAGAGAATTATTAGAACTATGATGGGTGTACCCTCATTCCATTCATGTAGGGGACTTTGCAAAAGACCTAATATCTTATCTGGCCAGTATCTATATAAGTGTTGACATAATATACATTTAAAAATATCTGCATCTTATGCCAAACTTTCAAGTTAATCGGAACTGTACAACAAAACGATTTTTACTTGCCTCAGGCTCTTTTAAAAATATTCAAATTATCTTCAATATATCTTGGCCCAAAGTTGTTTGGTAGATTAAATCCATCTACTAAACAAAATAAAAACCTTAAGCTATTTATATATAATATTAAAACCATTTTATTAAATAATTGTTGTTACAGTATTAATGAATTTTTAAACCGTTTGTATTATTTCTATTTCTATTATTAAGCGTGAGTGAGTCATGGTTAAAAAACGTATCTACGCAGAAATAAATGGCTGAGATATTCTTTACGTGTCAAAAAAAAGGAAGTAAAAGCAAACATTTATAATAAACAATAATAGAGGACCCAGGGGCATCCCAATGAAACTGTTTTATATACTCCCACACATTTGTACCTATTTCCCAAATATGATTTAAACAATAATAAAAGGGCATACCCCGTATTCCGTATAGGTTCATCTTTTTCAAAAGGACTATGTGTCACACTGTGTGATACACCATCGAAGGCCTTAGAGGGACCCTCAAGTATGTACTTCACTACCTTAAAGGCGTAATAGACCTGCTCTTTAGAAAGCCAGACTGGCATTTAAAATCATGCAATACAATGAAACCAAGGCTTTGTTATCTATAAATGAAACCTCACTGATTACTTTGACAACAGCAAAGGCTGCTTTTGTCACATCAATGAGTACTGCCAGGACTTATAGTAAGCAATATTCAGCACATTAAATAGCTTTATTTAATTTCTTGGTTTGACTCAAAATGAATAAACGCCCACTTTCTTTTTCAGGAGTATGCACTGAACTAAATTTTTTACTTTTTCGTATACAATAGGCGATATTTTAACCTTAATTGATTTAATATTTGTTCTAAGTTTAATATTTCTTGCTTATTGGTTTAGACCAAAGAAGCTTAAAAGAAGATGTCCAAATGCTTTACACACGATCGAGGCGTTGTAGGAAGGGTAAATTCAATTTTTCGCCTCGATCGTGTGTAACGCATTTGGACATTTTTTTAGGCTTCTTTGGTAGGTACACCATAGGTGCGCCATTTTTAGAATACCCCGGATACATAATAGTTTCGTAGGAAAATAAATAAAATTTTGCAAAGAATAATAAAAAGTGTGATAAAATAAAATTAAAACCAATTTTAACATTTCTTAAAGATAATTTGTATCAAAAACAATGTTTTCTGACTTTTGTATACCTTAATTACAAAAAAAATATCTAATTACCTGGCGTTCTGTTGGCATACAGTCTGTCCTGGGATCAACCAAAACAGCTTCAACTCTGGGACACCATGGACTTGGGATAACATAGTTACACAGCTTCCTTGACTTTTCCCTTTGGTTAATCGCGTTTAGAGGTAACAAACTAGGCAACTTTCTTAAATTCTTTTTACTGTATATTTCATGCAATTCGGGCGAAACCACGTCTATATTATCAGAAAACTCTTCTTTTTTCTTAAACATTTTCTCCGGTTTATACAGTTTGAAGTCATCGCGATAATTTAATTCGTCCACTGAATTTTTGAAGTGTTTTTCCAGACAGTCTCTGTCCAAGTGGAGTTTTAGTAAATGGCAAACACCTAGGAATTCTGGCAGGATTTTTTGGTAGATTATTACGCTGCCTGTGTAGATGTAGTCCAATATTAGGGACATTATGTTCGAGTTTATGTCGGGCAAAATAACTACGGAGGGCGTGGAAGTGTCATCTTTTAATAAATTCTGAAACAAAATATTAAATTTAAGAAATTATTATTTTAATACAAATAAAAAATTAGTTTAAAATATAAAGGGTGAATACGTGTATCAACGAAACAAAAGCATAGTTTAAAAGGTTTTTAAATATTTTTATGCAAGGAATCTCATCCTGAATTTTTTGGCTATAATAATAAATAACCCTGTATAGAAAAGTAAATAAATATTGAAAAAAGTATCTGAAAACCAAGTACTTGTACACTTGTTTTTTAATAGCCAGTTTATTATAAAATAAAAGTGTAAGTAGTACCTATAGGTCAAAAATTCCAAAGACATGGTCAAAATATTATTTCTATCTTTACAAATTAAGGTTTTTTTGGGTTGCTGATTACAATTTTGATTTTAATTTTTCCAAAAAAATGCTTTGATTTCGCTCAAAAATAGAATATTTGAGGTCGCTGATTCATTTTATCAAAAACAAAATGGCGGATTCAATATGCTCGACATTTTTTACAGAAAGATTTTCTGATATCGTTCAAATTTGGCAATGGTTTTTAGGTCTCTAATAAGTTAATATCGACATAAAAAAACATTAAAATTAACAACTTTTCAAAAATCATTTTTTCAAAAACAAAACGGCGGATCCAATATGGCGGACATTAACCCTTAACTAGTCGCGCAGGTGCACTGAGTGCTCCGTTTTTATTAAAACCTCTATAACTTTTTGTCGTTTTCTTGGAATTAAATGCCCTTTTCATGTAACCTATGACTGATGTGTCTACCATGCACTGTCGACGGCATATTCAGTTTAAACTACTAATTTCAAAGTTATGGATAGAAAACTTGAGATTGATTTAGAAATACTTCACTAAAACGTAACTAAATTTCAATTTTTGCAATGTAAAATATTACTAAATCAACAAAATATGGAATTTAAAACCTAATGGTTTTTAAGGTATACATTTTTCTAAGAATACACAAATAAAAATAGAACGGCTAAATTTCATTCTGATTTCTTCTTTTCTGAGTAGAAGTAATAACTTTTTTGTTTGTTTTATTTTTTGTTATTTGCTTTTTGTTTCTTTTTAAAATAAATATTGCGTTTTAATAAAAATAGAGTTAATTCATCCGAATATAAGCAAAAGTAATATTAAAATTGAAAACATTCAGCAATATAGCCATTTTAAGGAGCGGGGCACTTAGTGCACCGCGCGACCACTTATGTTACAAAAATTGGCGCGAGTAGTTAAGGGTTAAAAAAAAATCTTATATTGCTGGGAAATATTATTTAATTAAGTGGTTTCACCGCGAAAGGGTTAAAATATTAATACTTGTATTCAAAATGTAATATTAAAAATCATTATTACACAGTCATATTAACCATACTAAAATCTACTTAAGATTTTTTGCCAAAAATATCAAAATATCCTAAAAAGTTCTACTTAATATATTGTCACACTCATCTTAGATCTAGATTGTACAAAATAGTACAGGGTGGGCACAGGAACCATGTGGTTTTGAAAAAGGGTAATTTTTGCCCTAAAAGTATTTTTCGGAGCATTTAACATAAACTATGTGCAAAAATTAAATCTATTAAAATTTAAAAAAAAATTGAATTTTTATCTCTTGGAACTTTTTAATTAACCCTTACTTTACCACCCCGACTAGAAAATTTTTTAATTAACTTGAATGTAAAAATAAAAATTAAAAATTCTATTGCAACAACCACAAATCAAGATTATTTCAAAAAATCTAACTTTTTAAAGTTGAATTCATTTTGCGGGATGGGAATTGCTCAATCCATTGAAACACTGTGCATTAAGTGTCCGACGTTTGAATAGGTTTAAAATACAAAAAAAAAGGAATTGAAATTTTATCTTCTGAGTTCAGCCCTACTTAAGGACTATAGGAATTGTCGGTAAATAGCACAATAAAATAAAATACATATAAAATACATAGGTACAACTTAAAAAACATATATGTAATTCAGATTACTGGTTTAAAAATTCAGATACGTCATATAAACACAGAGATAATAAGTATTGCTTTAATTTATTTTTAAAAATATGTATGTTTTTAGATTCCTTTATAGAAGTTGGCAATTTATTAAATGTTTTTAAACCTAGGTACTCTGGCGAGTTAAATTTTATATCCCGTTTTGTTGAGGGAACATAAAAATTTTCCAAACTAGACAAAGTCAAAATATTAAAATTATTGAAAACTGGTCTACACAACTCCTGATTTTTAACACCGGCTATAATTTTTCCCCAGAAACAAATGCAGTATCTTAGTCTTGATTCAATATGGGCATAATATAAATTTATTAGTTGAGAAATAGTGAGTATCTTTTAAGATTGATAAATAAATAGGCCATTCTGTGCAAGTTGCCAATGATACTTTGACAGTGAAGTTTAAAATTTAAGTTTTTGTCTATGCATAAACCCAAGAATTTTACACACTAAATTTTTATTATTTATTTTATTAAAATAAAAAAATATTTTAAATGGTATAAAACCTGTAATATTTGGATTTTTTAAATAAAATTTTAAATTTGTCGATAAATTATAGTAGATAATAAATTGCACCACTTTAATTTGAATTATCTTAAATAAGGGGGCCTGGAGGCGGGTGAGGCAACAGGAAAAACTAAGTTTTTTTTTCGAAAACTTCAATTTAAATTCAGTTTGCGCCGAACTTGTCTATTTAATGTCATTATAAACTATTATAAATTTGGTGTGGGTCCCATGTCTAATAATTGAAATATTGGTATACCCAAAATCCACCAGCCGCCAAATCATAACCTTTACACTGGATAGTCTTCCACAACTTGGATGATAGACTGAATCACATTTAACACATTTTACACCACTTACTACTTTACTTTTACACTTTTTACAGGACGCGTTAATCGGTACATCAGTATCGTTCGCCATCTTTTGCATTTATTTTTGGAGAACGCAAATTGATCTCAAACAAAAATAAATGAGAATAAACGAAAAAAACGAGCATAAACGAGAAATTCAATTTTTTCCATGTTCTCTAGAAGATTACCAGTTTCCATTTTTACAGGCTATAAAATCTTTTCTTTATTAAAAAACTATTTTATGTAAAACGGATCAATAAAAAATATACTAATAATAACCAAAATAATGAAAAATTATAAGTTATAAAAAAGAAAGAAAAATCATTATTTTTAAACCATACATGGTAAATACAAATGGTTTAGGAGGTTCGGAACCATTTTTCAAAATAATACCATACTTTTTAAATTTTTGTCATGTATCTATAGATGAATAAATGAAATGCTGACTGCCAAAATTTCAAGTTCATTTTTCAACGATTTTTAAGAAATAATTTGGTTTTAAACATTTTTATTAATAATGAACCAGTCAGAGGTAAAATAACTTAAAAAATTATAATATTGTTTAAAAATGTCAAATTATAAAGCACTAAAAATTGTATAACATTGGTAATATTTCTATGAAAGCTATAGTACTTCAAACATCTTTATACATTTACGCCCATGTTTACATTCAAGCATTGCGTTCAAGCATTTTGCCTAGAATTTTTGAAAGTTCTCGATTGTGCTCCAAAATGCTCGGACGGGAAAGTGGGCGCAAATTCATTTAAAGCTTTGCAAACCTTCGCGAACGTTCTCCGAGCACAATCGAGAACGTTTGCTTATTTACAGCACTAATTACCTTCACGGTAAAGTATACCGTGTATAGTATAGGCTATACCCTATGTATTATATTATATATTTTATAAATTTGAAATACATTTAAAAAAACTAGGTAATTAAAATGAGGTGGAGGAGATGTGACGCCCTATAGGCCGACCTATATATAGGTCGGCCTATAGGGCGTCACATCTCCTCCACCTTATTTTAATTACCTAGTTTTTTTAAATGTATTATATTATATATATACCCTATGTATTATATTATATATTTTATAAATTTGAAATACATTTAAAAAAACTAGGTAATTAAAATGAGGTGGAGGAGATGTGACGCCCTATAGGCCGACCTATATATAGGTCGGCCTATAGGGCGTCACATCTCCTCCACCTTATTTTAATTACCTAGTTTTTTTAAATGTATTTCAAATTTATAAAATATATAATATAATACATAGGGTATAGCCTATACATATATAATACATAGGGTATACATATATAATACATAGGGTATAGCCTATTATAGGCTGCCTATACTATACACGGTACTATACGCCCTATAGGGCGGCGAATTGTCTTAATTATGATATTTATGTTTGTTTTACTTGTTACTTTATCAATTGTACCTATTTTAATAATAATATTTAAAAATAATTTTTGATATGGTTAATATTGTCTGATAACGTTTGATAAACCCATATTTCTATATTTGTATATCGAGATAAAATAGTATTCGATACCGATACAAAAACACTATTGTGCTTTGTATTTCTTGAAACCAACTACAATACTAAATAATTTATAGACACCATGGCGGGAAACACATTTCCAGAATTCCAACCCTTTAAAGACGAATGGCCCATATATAGGGAAAGACTGGATAATTATTTTATAGCTAATTTTATATTAGAAGACAGACAGAAAGTAGCCTTTTTATTATTGTCGATAGGAGATTATACCTACAAAGTGTTAAGGAACCTGATGTTTCCCGTACCGCTACAAAATATGAAGTATGACACCTTAGTTAAAGTTTTAAATAAGCATTTTACCGTCGAAGTTAACGTGTGGTGCGAAAGAAAGAAGTTTTTTGAACTCAAACAGGGTGAGGGAGAAGCTGTAGCTGATTGGTTTGGGAGAGTTAAAAGTAAGTTTTATTTGTCAAATGTTTATCTCTCATTCAAGCCCTGGATTTCATACAGTAAAAATGTGCAATAAAAACTAGGTAATATTTTGTGTGGGCAAAGGGTGGTACAAAAAAGCTTTGAATAAAAAATCTCAGGAAGGACCCTGCCGAATCTCGTTAATGAAATAAATTTACGACGGAAGTCGCCATTTTAGGAGTCCGATTATAAGTCATTTTTTCTGACAGATGACAGTTTGTGTTTGTTTATTTACCTGTTTAAGCGTTTTTGGTTTATTTAAAAGCGTTTTTTTTGTTGTTTAATAGCGCTTATGGTTTGTTCTATGCGTTTTTGTAGTTTAATAATTAAACCTTGCAAATAATTTAACGTTATAGCTGGCGGAAACGATAGTCCGCCATTTGTGGCGACCAATTGGTCCCCTGTGCGTTCAGCTATTTTCTATCATTTACTCCTCATCTAAATGAGTAAGTACCTAGTACACATGCATTGGATTGGATCACAGACCACACAGTCCAGGATAGCATTTAGAGGTCGCCAATAATTAAACGTATATATTAGGAAAATCAATAGATGTAAGTAATATGAAACACTTAAAACAAAAACTACGACATAAGGAATGCTTTTGATGGCTTAGGAAACTGTTGTCGCCGATTTGCGACTAGGCAAAGAATATCTGTTCTTCGTCCTTTATACTGGTTGTATTTTTTAATAAAACTGATTCCCAGTTCGGCACTATCATTAACAACTCTCATCTTACAACACTTTTCACAAAAATCTAATAAAACCGGATCACATGGCTAATTTTGAGGTGGTACTTTCAGGAATTTTTTTCTTTTGCATTTTTTTTTAAATATGAGGACATTTATCAATTTTAGACGCTCTTGGTTTTTTGAACATTATTTCTTTAAATATTGCGCTCTGAAAGAAAGCAAAGATGCTGAGCTAAGTATCAATTTAGGGAGCTCTAATTCCAAGTGTAGCTTCATTCCATTACCTTACATAAACCAAGCTCACAAATACAACAAAATATTCGACATTCTTTATCTCTCTACAAAACAAAAACGGCTTTCATTTTGGAAAAATTAAGACGATCTAAGGCTCCAACCTCTTCAGGACAAATATTTTGCACAGTTTTCATAAAAAAATACGTCGTTTTCTATTTTAGAGAAGAAGACGTAGATCAGCCTTACTCAAACTTTTTTTTTCTTGGGCCAAATATGTATGACTGCTACCTCAGGCGGGCCGCAACGACCTATATTACAATTAAACTCTTGATTGGTTAAATTGTGGACAACTTTTGACAATTTTAGTTAAATCCCGCTACATGCTACTCTATACACGTCGTCAAGGTGTGAATCAGTTAGCCGACATCAGACACATTGTATATGTGACGCGATCCGAAAAAACAAACCTAGCATCCAAAAATCAAATTTTACAAAAGGCGATTGAAGTTCGGGCGGCGTGCCGCGGCATAGGCGTTTTTGTAGTAAAGCTCGACTTAAAAAAATAATTACCATGTTAATTCCGTCTGGACCTTTCGAAAGATCGTTTACTTAAAAAAATGATAATCTGAAAAGTCTAACTCCCGTTCCTTGGATTGCGACCAATATTTTATTTCAGCGTTCAAAGTTATCGGGTACACCTTACTACTTTTTAAAATTCTTTCCTATCCTTTTTTGTTTAAAGATTGCTTCCAAATTTGAGTCAGTTTTAAATTCAATACATTTATTCAATAACTGCGTCGTCAAATCCCAATGCAGCCAGTTGTCTCACAGCGGCGGTTTGTAAGTGCCAGTGATTTTAAACTAAGGCAAGATTAACAAATAAACTTTTTAATTATGATTATTAAAGCTTACTTAACAATTTGTTATTATTAATAACTTGAATAACTTGATTTTGAAAATCAGATTTTATAATAAATTAAAGTATTTTATTTAATCTAATCAAATAATCTGTTACAAAGCTGAAAAGCACTAGATTTAAAGATAAGAAAGTTTAATTAAATTAAATTTTAACGGTTACGGTTTGGGTCGAAACTAGAAGAGAAGCCGATTCGGTTACGGTTTCGGCTAGAAATCGTGTTTTGGTCGGACCAGTTTTCTACAAAAAAAAACCAAATTTGGAATCCGATTTTCTAATTCAAAAGAACAGTCAATTTTCGATAAAAATCACAATGTTTAATATTCTAATGTAAATTTGTTTAATTCATAACTTGGTCATAAATTAGGCCTGATAAAAAATATTGTAAAAGTACAATTGGGACAAACAAAAACTAATTTCATAATCTTTCCGCTTCACACATTTCGTGCCTTAAAAAAATACCCAAACTGTATAAGAACTGTATAAAATTGCTCAAACCACATTAGAACTGTCTAAAATAAAATGGGTCAAAACTATCACAAAAAATGTTCTTATACTATTTAAAAGAACCCAAAATATTCAAAAACACAGTTAAATTACATGAATGTTTCCTTTGATTTAAATGTCATTTTAACAGGATGAAGGCTTTGTGAAGCTACCTGTTACACCAAAAAGAAGTTAAGATTATCATCCTTGTGACTTCTTTATATTTTTTTAAAAACTGAAGAAAAACATTGAACGTAACAATTGTAAAAACCGTTAATAAATATCCAGCTGCTAACCAAGCTGCGTTGGTTTTTAGATTAAATGTTTACCATGTTGATTAATGCCTGTGTCACAATAGTGTTGATGTTAATGTTAATGGTAATGTTAATGTTAATATCCAAAGCATAGAAAAATGCGTGTATCCGTTCACAATGATGGTATTACCATCATTGTGAACGAATACACGTATTTTTCTATGCTTTGGATATTAACATTAACATTACCATTAACATTAACATTCACATAAACACTATTGGGACAGAGGCATAACACCAGTTTAATAAGGTATCACATAATCAACAAACTTAACTATAGTTATAAGTATCTAAATAGTTTCCTATCGATAATTATTTAAGCAATAAAGTATAAATATAATTTACGATTTTATTCATTTAAATGTATTTGGTTTATATACAGAGTTTATCCGCGGTTTTGTAACAAAATTTGTACAAATTTGTGACTTTTAAAAAATATCCTTTATAATTTTAGGGGTGGCAATTCCTTGTAAGTTTGGAAACAGTATGGATTATATGATGGTTAACAAATTTATGACTGGTTTGATTCAAGGAAAAATTCAAGATCGAATTTTTGAAGAAGATATCAATAAATCATGCGCAGAGTTGGTTTCTTTATCTGCTAAACTAGAAAAATTGACTCTGTTAAACCCTCTAGCACCAATGTCCAAATCTGCAGAAAAGGATCATGGTACAAATAAAAATTTATTATTTGTTATTGTCTTAAAAAAAAAACCGATGTCCAAAAAAAATTTGAAGTATACTCTCTTAAAATGAATTAGTCAAAAATAACTAATTATAAGTCATATTTGACTAATTTTCATAGCAAAAAAGCAGTCACTAATAATTAGTCAAATTGTACTGAATGAAATAGTCAAATTAGTATATTTAAATTTAAAAAAGTTTTGACCCAGCCGGGGATTGAACTCAGGTCTGTCGCTTGTCAAGCCTGTTAAGCTGTTGTCATAACGAATGTTGCTATCAGTCACTCTTATAATAATCAATTTTATTTGTTCATAAAAGTTAAATATATTATTTGTGTTGCTGTTTTGAGCTAAACTTTTTGCATATTTGTTTGTTTTTATGGGCCATTTATCCATGGAGCCTATATGCATTTAATTCAAATAATACTTTGTTGTTGGCCGCAAACGATTAAAGAAATTAGTTACTTTTAACTCTCAGAAATAGTCAAAGATAGTGACTAATCTTAAATTAGTCAAACTTTAACTATTTAAGTAGTAAAAAATAACTATTTAAAAGTGAAAACGACTAGTTTATTACTAAAAATGCTGGTACTAATTCAAATAGTAGAATTTTGACTATTTAATTTTAAGAGTACGATTTTTAAAAATAAATTTACGTCTTTTACGTATTTAAAGCAGTACACAGTGTTATATTAATTAGGGTTTTTTTTCAATACTTGGCTTTTATGAGAATATTTTCTATAATTTCTGAAAAAGGTAAAATTAAATGTTTACATTATTTATTAATAAATATTTCTACTAGGTTATTATTGGAGAGATTTCTATTATGGAAAAATCCCCGAAGATGCGTATTGCTGTGGCGAAGATAATACTGGAAAATGTTACATAGGACAATGTGTATATTTTCCCCAAGGAATGTTTACTGGGAAATTATACGAAGGGGCTCGACAATGTCCAGTACCGGCATATGGAGTTAAAACGAATGCCCACGCTATGAAGGTATAATAAAATAATTAAATGTTATGTGGAATGACAAAATAATGCTTTTAATAAGATAAAAAAAAAATGTGTGCGCTTAGACCACACGGCTAAATTAAAAGTTCTTTTGGACAATTTAATTAAATTAGTGTTTTGTTTGATTCATTATGTATATTATATTGATTTTTATTTAATTTTCAGTTTTGAATTACCCGGTTCTAAATACATTAAATCCAAGATCAGCTTTTAATTATGAAATTTTGTTAGAATATAGGCAGTTTTTATTTACCCTAAACATCAACCGTTCGCCCCAGAGCGTTTCATGTTCTTTGGTTTAAACTTCTGTAACGCCAAGTTTTGGTTTACCCTCTCCTCAAAGAAGTTTTACTTTAATGAAACTTCGTATTCACTCTTAAAATATATTTATATATATATACATATACATATCATTCATATTTCATAGGGAACAACCAGTCACTAATAATTAGTCAAATTCTACTGAATGAAAGTCAAATAAGTAGATTTAAATTTAAAAAAGTTCTGACCCAGCCGGGGTTTAAACTCGGGTCTGTCGGTTGTCAAGTTGTCAAGCGTATGTCATAACCAATGAGCCATCAGTCACTTTCATAAAAATCAATTTTATTTGTCTATAAATATTGCTTTTAAGGTTGAATATATTTTTTGTGTTGCTGTTTTGAGCTAAACTTTTTGCATTTTTGTTTATTTTTATGGGCGATTTAACCATGGAGCCGCAAACGATTAAAGAAATTAGTTACTTTTAACTCTCAGAAATAGTCAAAACTGATGGCTATTCTTAAATTAGTCAAACTTTAAATATTTAAGTAGTAATTCAAATAATATATTTGATATATCTTAATTGAAGGAGAGTTTTTGGAATTCGGACAGATTGATAAATATCGAATGACGCAATAATAAAACAAATTGACCAATCTGAATAATCTAATTTATAATTGTTGGTGCAAAAGGTAGACTAAAATCACAGATTATAATTTTTCTCAAAAGTTTTAAAAAAAGTTTTTTAAACTTCCAAAGATGGCACTATTTTGATACCCGAAGAAAATCCTGGTGGTAACAATTCCAAAAGCAACTCAAGACTCATGATTTCCAGACAAAAATAAAATGTTAAAATTTTAATTGGATGGAAATCTTCCATATTTTGCGTATAGAGGAAGCGAGGCTAATTTTTAATATTAGTATTTTTTGACTAATTTCAACTTTTTATTATATATTCGACCAAACAAAGTATACGGTTTAAAAACAGGTATTTTTTAAAACAATTACCAAAATAAAAACTTAATTTTTATTGAAAATGGAGATTCCCACTTTTCTTATCAGGAAGGAAGAGTAGGTATACACATATACATATTTGTATGTTAGTAGCACAGGTGGTTAGTAGTATAAGTAAAGTATATCATATATTATGTTGTGCTTACTTGATGTAATCATCATTCACTTTATGTAACGAATTCGCTTAATGTTTTCTAATTTCATCATGTTGATAGAATATTGTTATATGAGTTATAATCAAGTAGATGAGTAAAATCATCCAATTCATCCGCTTAGTTTATTCTATTTAATTTTAAACAAAATAATTAAAAATTTGTTCATTTCTTGAGGGGGAAATAGTTATTTGTTTTACTAATGTTGAAAAGCGACTTTTTCATGCGAGTGTTTAAGTTGCTCACGAGGCCGTTAGGCCGAGTGTGCATTAACTAGAGCTTGAAGAAAGCTTTTCTCACAAGTGAAACACAATGCTTTTTATTTTTTATTATTTTCAAATACAAAACAAAATATTCTAAAAACGTGTTTGTAATAATTTCTTTAACATATTAAAGGAAAAAATTGACTCAAATACTATTTTTAAAAAGATTAAGCACAAAAACATAAAAACCCGTGGATTACTAATGAAATTATGAACTCGATAAAACACCGTGATAATCTATTGAAAACATATTACTTAACAAATAATGAAGACATTAAAAGGTAATATAATCTTTATAGAAACAAACTAAATAATAAAATTGTACGAGCTAAACGAAATTATTTTAGAATTAAAATTCAAAAAAGTGGCAGCAATAAAGAAATGTGGAAAACTATAAACAAGTTAAAAAAAGCAAAAGTTAACACAAATGAAATAACTGAAATAAAAGTAAATAATATGTTATACAGTGTATAATATACACTGACCAAAAAATATTGTGCAACATTTTTAACAAACACTATGTTGAGAAGGGAGAAAAGGTGGCTAAAAAAAATTAAATTAAACAAAAGTTTTAAAGAAAATAAACTAAAATTAACAAATTCCTTGTTTTTAAAACCGTCCACTCCTACAGAAATTAAGTCTGTTATAATTAAACTAAAAAATAAAAACTCTGTGGGTATTGACCGCATTCAAACAAGTACAATAAAAAACATTATACATACCATAGCCACTGGCTATTAGCCAGTCCCCTTTCAATATTAATTAATAAAATATTTAAATCGGGTATATGTCCAACTCTATTTAAGATGTCAGTAGTAGTACCAATTTTTAAAAAAAGGAAATAAGCAAGATCCAGTGAACTACAAACTTGTCAAAAATCTTTAAAATACTCATAAAAAATAGACTAGAATGTTTTATAAAAAAATACAACATAATATCTGAGAAGCAATATGGCTTTCAAAAAGGAAAGTCGACTCAAGACGCGATTATTCATCTAATGGAAAATATTTACAAAGCTGTAGACGAGGGTACACTGGCTATTTGTATTTTTCTTGATCTTGCTAAAGCCTTCGACACTGTTTGTGACCAAAAATTAATATCAGTACTCTGGGATCTTGGTATTCGCGGCCCACTTCTAAAGCTCTTAACTAGTTACCTTAAGAACAGAAAACAACATGTAAAAATTGGTAAATACATAAGTGATCCACTCACACCTAACTATAGTTAGTATACGGTGTTCCATAGAGCACAATATTGGGTCCACTCTTATTTATATTATATATAAATAATCTGTTTAGGGTGAAAACTAAGGGTAAAGTTTTAAGTTTTGCTGATGATACCACCATACTCTATACGGCCAGAAATTGGATTGAACTGAAAGAGGTAATAGAAGATGACTTTGTCTATAGATATAAAAGAGTGGTTCGACGAAAGTGTTTTAACATTAAATATTGAAAAGACAATGTTCATGCCTTTCGGCACTTTGACATTTGAACAGGAATCGATAAACTAATTATCAAATAGAATGGACTGTAGACAGCTCTTTTTTATGTCACTTGCTATACATGTTTTCGAAAAAAACATAAATGAAATCTACATGCACAAGAAATAACCAGAAATTACCTGAACCCAAAGTTAACAAAACCATCGGACAACGCAGCAGTCGATTTCTTGGACCAAACATTTATAATAATCATCAAATGAAATACAACAGGCTAGATCAATCCATAGCTTTAAAAAAAATGTAAAACTACACCCTAGAAATAACTAGAGAAGATATTCATAAACAAATAGATTTTAAAAAATACATGAACTTTACTGAGAACGTAGCTAAAACCAATTTGCTCTCAAAGACTTGCCTTTTCATTTTCAAAATGCTTCTTATTCTTATTTATTCTTATTTATTCTATTTACCTTATTTTTATTCAAATTGTTTTGTTTTTATTATATTTACTTTACTTTTTGTATATTTTATGTTTGTTTGTGCACAAACATATAATATAGTATTTAAAAGAGAAAAATCTCAAGTGAGTTACGTATAAATATAAAAAAACCTTCACTAATTTGAATATAATCAACAGGTTACCCACAGAATAATTTATACTTTTTGTGTATTTTATGTTTGTTTGTGCACAAACATATACTTTAGTATTTAAAAGAGAAAAAGCTCAAGTGGGTTACGTACCTACACTAATTTGAATATAACCAACAGGTTACCCACAGAATAATTTATACTGTGATTGACATGATTGTATTGAATTTTGTATTATATTTTATTTATTTTGCACCCTCAAATGCAACTGCATTTCTGTGCTTTTAGCATATTTATTGTAACAATATTTTAATATTTTTAAATTTTGAAAAAATTATTTAAACAATAAATATTATTATTATTAATATTATTATTAATTATAAGTTATTCAAATATTTTAAATTTTATTTATTTATTTATGTTATTTACATTACATTTTATAGCCAACAAAACAGTTTTCTTAACTGGTACCGATAGTTTTTAAAAATTGTTACCATCCAACTAATCCATTCCACTCTATACATTTTTTTACTATTTTTCCAAAAAGTTGCTCTCTTAGAATACAAATTTTGCTTAACAACTATTTTAACAAATAAAAGACAAATTTTTTGTAAAAGGATAAAAATGTTGAAGAAATATAGTATTTAATAAAAATAAAAATTATGAAGAGTTACTGGAATGGTAAAAAAGAGCAATGTGGAATATAAAATTAAGAAAATTAAAATGGTTTCGCGGCACCAGTTAAAGAACTGTTTTATACAGTAAAATATACAATTAAATAAATAAATAAAAAACTGAAAAAAAAATAATTTAATTGTTAAATTGAAATATTACCTAACTAATTATAAATTTAGTAAGTATTTAACAAATAATATTAGCTATTCATAAAAATAGCTATTATTTAACAATTTTTCTAATAATCAACAGTGAAAATTCTTGACACCTGTCAACAATGACAGATAACAGGTGTCAAGAAATAACATGTGTAAAGAAATAACAGATATCCAAAAAGGTAAAAGACATCTATGTCAAAAAATAACAGATATCAACTATTACTGTTAATTATTTTTGACAACAATGACAGGTGTCAAGAAATATTAACTTTCGTGTTTGCTATCTGTCATTTCATGGCATGTTATTTGCCATTTTTAACTAATCAAATAAACTGCTCTTCAAAAGTTAGGAAACTAGGGAATACTTAAAATAATGTGGAGCCCAAAATTAATATATATATATATTTTTACATTTTATAACCAAATTTGAAATTAATAAAAAGTCCGACTAAACACAAATTAAAAAGAAACTAAAACTACATTTTTCATAATTTTACTATTCATCGTGTTTTCACACATGTACATCCTAAACATTTGCCACCCCATACCATAATTGTGCCACCTTTAAAAGGGTAATCCTTTTAAACTGTCCTTATATTTCTTGGTGTTGTCCATACACGTACACGCCAACTGTCAGAAAATCGACCATATCTGGACACGTCAGTAAAAAATACAGATTCCCATTCTTGTACCCAGTTTGCATATTCTCTCGCCCATCGTAATCTTGCTTGTTTGTGTACGACAGTAAATGGAACTCGTCAAAGTAAAGGCCTAAAAACCAGATTGTTATCCATAATTGTCTCCAAATCGTTGCAATTTCCTCTAGCATTTTCCAGGCGGCTTGCCAGTTGACGGCACATCGATAACGGCTCTATACGAGCAGATAGTCCAATAATGTTCATGTTGTGGTGTTTTTTCTTTATTCTTCCACCTCTTCGTCTTTCTTCTACCGATTCAGTCTCTAAAAATCTAAAGTAAAGTCTAGAAATTACACTTTTTGACACATTGAAGTAATTCGCTACATGTGCCTGAGTTTCACCTCCTTGTATTATACCAACAGCCATATTTTGTTGAGCTATAGTTAACTTGCTTCTCCCCATGAATTTATTAAATTTGTTTAATGTTAGCCTTTATATGTCGATTTTATTTTTTCATTATTTGTTAAAATCGAGTAAAATTAGTCAAAATATTGCATTTATTTACATACTAATACGAAATATATACATACATTACATACAAATACGAAATATATAAATATTTAGCAATACTACCTTGATTGACAAATTGAATAATAATAACCATTCATATTAGCTATTCATAAAAATAGCAATTTTTAACAATATTACCAATTACATGTGAAAATGTTACGAATTATTTAGATATTTAATCATTAACATTAACGAATTACTTTATAATTATTAACAATTATAATAGTTTGTCAAAATATGAAAGATGTCAAAAAACGACAGATTTAAAAATTGACAGATATATAGAAATAACAGATATCAAGAAATGACATTAACGAATAATACCTAATAGTCGATGTCAAAAAATGAAAGATTTCAAAAAATAATAGTCAATAAGTCAAAATTTTGATTTTCCCTGTCACTTGTCATTTTTGACAATTATTATTGTTAATAATTATTAATATAACTAATTCGTTAATGTTAAAGTATTGTTAATAATTAAATATCTAAATAATTCGTAACATTTTCACAGGTACTGGGTAATATTGTTAATATTTTTGATATTATTATTTGTTTAATAATAACTAAATTTGTAACTATATTTCAATTTAATTTAAATTATATTTTTGTTATTCAATAGTTTTTAAATAATCAAAAGTAAACTCTGAAAATTATTTTTCTCCTTCAAGAAATGAACAAATTTTCCATTATTTTGTTAAAAATTAATTAGAATACAATAAACGGATGAATTGGATATCTTTTTCATAAATGGATGATTCCACTTAATAAAATTATAACACATTTCAGTAAGAGCCTAAAACGCCCATTTCCGGAAATGCACAAAAATTCTATTAAAATGATGAAATTAAATTTACTAAGCTGATCTGTTTTATGAAGTGTTCACGTGGACATCCATTTTATGAAATGGATGATTACATCAAGTGAGCACGACATAATATGTTATATACATATAATATGTTATATACATATAATATAATATATTATATACATATAATGTAAACAACATCTTGAAACATTTTAAGCCTATTGGCAAATATTTTTAATAGTTTAGTATTTCAAAAAATAGATTTATCTTCAAGGGTTCTATAATTTAAAGTTTTTTACTGTCAACGCTTTCGATTATCTCCTAGTTTGCAAAAGATCCGTTAGGACCAATCAAAGAAGTAATAGTCCTTGACGAAGAGCAAGCTGGACTTAAATACATAAATATGTAAATCAATTATTTAATAAAAAACAAAAAAGAATTTTTAACAATAAGACGCTTAAGCGTCTTAGAAATGACAGGGTCATTTTGCAGTTTGTTTAAGGTTTTAAAACTTATTTATAATATATATTTTTTTAGATATTGTGTTGTAAAAATCCCAATAAAATGCAATGGATCAATAATGTATGTAAAAGCGATAATGATTTTAAAGATGGCAGTATTTTGATACCCGAATCAAATCCAATTTATGGTGGTTACGATTCCAAAAGCAACTCAAGACTTATGATTTCCAGACAAAAACAAAATGGTGAAATTTTAATTGGGGTTTGGAGAGATGGACATCTTCCATATTTCGCTTATAGAGGAAGCGAGGCTAGTGGGGGACCTTTCACCTATTTAACTTATAATAATATTTTTTAATATTATGTAAGCAGATATACCTATATAACACATATAAAAATATTATAAAATTGTAATATTTTTGCATTTACTACGACGATAAAATATTTTTATTTATAGACATTCAAGTATCAAATACAACAATGATAATTTCTAAGGATAGTATTCAACACCAGCAAGCAATATGTAATTTTGTGGCCATGCTGAGAGTGGGAAAAATACTGAATAATTCCTGATTGTTCATTTCTAAAATTTGTTAGCTTTAAGTTAAAATTAGAAAATAGTACGGTTAAATTTGTCTGAGAGTTGTCAGAGGTCAAATAAAATTGAATTTAAATTTTTTTGCGGAATAAAATGTTGTGTTCGACTATTGGTCAAAAGAGGAGATTCCACTCGCGTGTTACTCCACGTTTGAGAAATCTCCCTTTTCTAACACTAGTCAATTTGTATGTACGTTTTTATCTAAATTTAGCACTATTTATATACTTACTCGAAAGTATTAGGTAGTATTATAATAATTATTATATAGCTTTGTAAAAAAGCCATAATTACCTACCTATGAAAGCTACATTAATAAAGCGAACAATATATGCCAATTAAATTGTTCATGTAGGTATACCTACCTTCATCTATAGATGCTTTAATGAAGAAAATTTATTTCCTTTTATTAATCTCTTTTAACTAATAAGTATGCGATACATCTGACATAGGTATTTATATGGAAAAATTATTATTATTTGAAAATGTATTCAAATATACTAGGGTTTTTCTCTCACTGTATATTTTGTTTATATTTATAGGGAGACAACTAATTTTGGTCTAGTTTCTAGTGGGTTAATTTTGTTTAAAATATCCGGTTCATTTCATTATTATATCGCAACTTAAATGCAAAATAAAAATAAAAATGTACCTTAAAATTATATGATGTAAAAAATATCCTTTCACTTACTTGTAAAATGGGACTAGCAATAGACAGGATTAGTTTGTGGGCCATTAATCTGTGGCCCTGGCAATTTAATATAACATCGCAAGTTGTCTCAGCTGTCTGTAATCTTAATGCACCTTCACGAATCACCGACTCCATTTCAATTCTAAAACAATAAAAAAATCCTTATTAATTAATTGAGCAACGTCATTTGAGTTATCATTAATAAACTTATAAAAGTTTTAAGCGATATTCTCTATATATTGGAGTGGAAATAGCATAGTATTACACTCAAAATAATGCTATATTTACTCGGATGCATTACGTCTCTCGGCTATCGGCTCGAGATGCAAACCTCATCCTTGTGAATAATAGCCTGCAGTATCTCTCGTATAATAATAAAGGGTGATCCACTTTGAGCTTGGCAATTTACATGGCCATGAAAATCAAAACGTCAAAGTATTTGTCATTATCAAAGTAATATTTGTGGTCTAGAAAGACATACAAATTTGATTATGCAGCAGTATACGACTGAACAACGCGTTAAAATTATCCAGACTTACTATGAAAAAGGGCGTTCAAATGTGCGTACTTTCCGTGCTTTGCGCGAATATTTTGGAATACAAAATCAACCTTCTAGGCAAGCAATTACGAATGTCGTGCAGAAATTTGAGCGAAATGGGTCAGTACTCAACATCAAAACTCCCCAGCGTGTTCGTCCTGTCCGTTCAGAAGAAAATGTTGCCAACATTCGTGAAAGTGTTGCCCAAGAACCAAAAACTTCGATTCGTCGCCGATCACAGCAGTTAGGCCTTCGGTACACCTCAACGCAAAGAATTTTGGCGAAGGCTTTGAATCTTCATCCTTAAAAGGTCCAAATAACCCAAGAATTAAAGCCCAGAGACCATCTCCAGCGACGTATGTTTTGTGAGTGGATGCTTCAACACGAAGTCGATTTTTCGAGAAAAATAATCTTCAGTGATGAGGCTCATTTTAACCTCAATGGGTTTGTTAATAAACAAAACTGTCGAGTTTGGGGGTTACAAAACCCAAGAGAAGTTGTTGAGAAACAAATTTTCCCCAAAAAAGTTACAGTTTGGTTTGTGGGCTGAAGGAGTAATTGGTCCGTACTTTTTTGAAAACCATGAAGAAAATGCTGTAACAGTCAATGCCGTGCGTTATCGGAGCATGATTACTGATTTTCTTTGGCAAGAGTTGGAAGGAGTGGATATTGAAGAGGTCTGGTTCCAACAGGATGGAGCGACCTGTCATACAACCCGGGAAACAATCGATTTGTTACAGACCCGCTTTCCAGGCCGGGTTATTTCGAGAAACGGCGATATTAATTGGCCGCCTAGATCTTGCGATCTAACCCCCTTAGATTTCTTTCTCTGGGGATATTTGAAGAATAAAGTTTACGTTAACATGCCCAATACAATTCCGGAACTGAAACAAGAAATACGACGGGAAATAGCTGCCATAGAGCCTGCGTTGTGTCGCAGAGTCGTTGAAAATTTTGACCAGCGCATTCGGTTTTGTCATTTGAGCCGTGGCGGCCATATGGCCGATGTTATCTTTCATACCTAATTGTACGATATTTAACTTTATTATTTAATAGAAAATTTCTCAGCTTTTAAAATATTTCGAGTTTTATTTTATTTTCTCATTGCCAAGCTCAAGTTGGATCACCCTTTAGTACATTATGTCATAAGGAGTAGAAGTGACTCTTTGTGGTGAGTACAGAGATTGATGGCCGAAGATTAGCTAAGGCAGTCAACTGTACGAAGTACAAAAAGAGCTTCTACTCCAAATAACATACTATTTTTTTTCAAGGGCGTAATATAAATAGGATAAGCAATAGAATTATTTTATTTACTTAAATTTACATTAAATGTACAATTACACGCACTGCAGCTCTTCAATTAAATCATCATGTGGATAAAATTTTGGCTAAAAGCATTAGAAATTATTGATAAAAACTAAAAAAAACTTTTTCACCCAGCACATATAAGAATGAATCATATCAAAAACCTAAAAATATGACCGAAAATAATATTTATTGTCTCTAGGGTCGGTAAACTCATATCGTCCCTAGGGCCGCTAAACTTGATTTTTGTAGTTTTTCACAATCTAGACATCTTTGACTGACATTTATGTATTTTGGCATTTGATATTTGAGATTTTCAGACGTTTGTGTAAATCAAAATAAAAACGGACAACAAAAGTATAAAATAACAATAAAACTTAATTTAAATTTTGTAATAAAGTCAAAATGAATGGTAACTCGGACAGTGACGAAAAATTTACGAATACTTGACCAGATTTGAAAAAGAGGAAGCTAGCAATGATAAGACAATGCGTTGCAACGGAACGAAAAGTGCAATGAATTATTTAAAAACTGGAAAAAGGATCAAAAAGCCAAAAACTTAACAGAAAATGTATTAGTTGCTTATCTATCGGAAATTCGCTCAAGGCATAATTAATATTAATTACAACAATAAATAAATTCGTAAATAATTTACGAATTTATTTATTGTTACTAAAGTTTTTTATAAAATTCAGATACACATTAATAAAATTAAAAAAATAATAATTTGTTAACAATTTCATGCTAGGCGAAAAACAGATGTGTGTCACGCATTCAGAAAACGCATTAGCAGCCCTTAGCTATCAACTGCCCTCGCTTCGCTCGCTCGGGCATTTAATAGCCGCGGGCTGCTTAAGCTAGTTTTCTGCCCTTGACACACAATATACTATATAAACTAAAAAAACAATGTTTTATTGACGTGTTAAGATTGAAAAATATACAGTTTTAAGGATGATTACCAAGTATAATGAAAGGAGACATTTGTAAACTTTAATAAAATCGGAAAGACCAAGAATTACAACTCTTAACACTGACAGGCTCATCAAAAGAATTAGTCAAAAAGACCCTTTCAAGTCTACACCACGAATTAAAACGAATATTGCTGAATAAAATGTTGGAGGAGATTGTTAAAAGCAAAATATTCACTAGAAGATCTGGATAAAAATAGAGCGTCTCGACTTGCACGTCCGCATTTAAACAGGACAGTGGACGATTGATATAATTCTGGATTGGCCTGCCCAATCACCTGATTTAAACCCAAATAAAAATCTAAGGGAAGAAATTGAAAGGCATATACGAACCCAAACTTACACGAATAGGCAAATGCTAAAGGATAACATTTACGCTGTTTGGACCAGCAGCCGTTATTCAAAAGTTAATCTCGTTAATGCCAAGATGATGGGAATTATAATTATAATTATTTAAGGTTTTTTTAATAATCTGTTAATTAGTCAATAAAACGTTGGTGTTCTTTATTTTTAAAATTATTTTTGAAATTAAATTGATGTTCCTTTCCTTTTGTCCGATCAAAAAATTAAAATATTAAAAAAAAACACATCACGAACTAGTCTTAATCGCTGCTTATAACTTATGTCATTGAATTGACAGCCTTTATTATTACTAGGGATGGGATATTTAGGTACTAAAAACTGAAAAATAGGTAACTAAAAAGGTACTAAAAAAAGCAATTTTAGGTTAAAAAACAGCATTTTAGGTAAAAAAAAATCATTAAAAGTAAGTTTCGTTTATAATTTTGCAATTTATAATTTCTATGCAATAAACTGTGTTTTACTGAGTGACACTCACTTCTATGACAGAACATAAGCTCACTAGTAGTGAGTAACTACAAAGAAGGTAACTGTAAAGAAAGTTACTGTTACAGTCTGTAACCATAAGAAAAAATTCTATACCGTTAAGTTGCACGCCCTGGATAAAATATTGGCGAAAATTTTAAAAAGAACAAAAAAAATAAAATAAGTAAAAATACGTAAAAATAGGTACCTAACAAATATGTGAAAATAAACTGACAAATTAAAAAATATGTAACAAAAGTATAAAAAGGTAGTTTAAAGCAAAAACCTCCAAAAAAGGTAAAAAAGGTGAAAAAAAGTTAAAAAAATAGGTAACAAAAGTATAAAAAAGGTAGTTAAAAGCAAAAACCTCCAAAAAGGTAAAAAAGGTGAAAACAAGTTAGGTTCATATAAAAGAAAATCATTTAAAACACATTTTGGCATTATTGGTTTTCAAATAGTTACATCTGTTAAAAAAAGGTAAAATAACTAAAATCCCATCCCTAATTATTACTATAAAACTTTGGGGAATTCCAGTTTCAAATCTGCACAAAATAAAATAATATAATACAATTTTTTCAGTTTGTTGCTGTTGCTGATTTTGAATAGTGTAGGTTATATACAATTTATATTTATTGATACAGTTTATGTTCATTAATCCATTTATTAAGTATGAGGTGGGTTTAAAAAGTGACATGAATTTTTCGACTTGAATTAGTCATTTTTTGTTGTTCTGTTGGTAAACAGGCCTAAATAGTAGAAATTTTCCTGGGATCGGATCTTTGGTATTTTGTAAAAACTAATAAAAATTTTTTATATAAAAATTAAATAAAGAGCAGGCTGCACTGTGCAGCAATGGTTTATAAATTAGGTGGTAAAACCAAAATGCCCCTAAAGGCAAAAATGAAGGTGGATGCCCCAAAAGAAAGTTTTTTCATTTCAAACCACTTGGATAAAATTTGTGTAAAAATCCCTACAATATTTTAATTTGAAAATTTCAAATTTTTATAATTGATAAAAACCTACGTATCCTAGTAGTTTCTTAATCTAAGATCACACACGATGTAATACACAGCCCCACAAAAAAAATAAACGCAAGATGTCCGACGGACTATAGACTCTACAGAGTAGTCACATCCTATGAATTTTGGGCCGCTGATTTCGAATCCGTGCACGGCCGTGGTAGGAATTTCACCCTAACCTTAGTTAGAGCACATTACAATTAACTTAGTACCTATATTATGTAACAAGTTTGAAAAACGGCACTTCATCACGAGTTTTAATTAGGCAAGAGCGAGTGTTTAATATACGGTGTCTAGGAAGGTTTATAAAACGAGTTGCATACTATTTTCTTTAGCCCTTGGCTAAAAAGTCACTGCTGCTAACTTCAGTCCGTTTTGTAAACCGTTAAAGTATTTGCAGTATACAACCTATAAGTTGCCTAACTTTGTGATTTTTAGTATGCGTGAATCCACTGGGGGATCCACTCAATATACAATCTAAATGTCA